TACATTCATGCCCCACCATAATCATCACCATCATTATCATCTTAATCTAGGTTCCAGAAATGAGTAAAAACATGCAATATTTTGCTGTTTGAGCTTGGCTTATCTCACTCAACATGATGATCTCCAGTTCTATCCATTTTCCTGCAAATAACATAATTTCATTTTTCTTTATGGCTGAGTAATATTACATGGTATATTTATCCATTCATCAATTATTGGGCACCTTGGAAATAGCAACATTTGCTTAAAAAGCAATTGACTTCAGTCTCATGCTCTGACACCATATATACAAAGTCCATGGGAAATCTATAGACAAAACCTTCTGCAACAGAAGATAGGTAGACTCCATTAGAGTATAAAAGAAAAAGAAAAGGTAGAATGAATGTGAAAAGAATATCCAGCAGGTGATATTTGAGGAAGCTATGTCAATTAGTGGTAAAGAAGCTGTTACCGATGGCTAATATTATTCAAGACCAAAACGACCTTGAGTTTAATTTTACATGGTTAAGCATAGTATAAAACCACAACAGTTTTTCATGGTTAAGCCTATTATTAAAATGGAAAAGAAACCAAATGTGTATATTGCTATTGTCCCTCACATGGATGAATGCAAGGGAAGGGGACCAAGGTCAAAAGGTATTTTGTCTATTATTTTTGGAAAGCATTCAGAGTGTCTGGAACATTCCAGCACAAAACAATGAAGCCAGTCAACCAGACAGATAGGACTTTAGAGTTAGAGCTTGTCCCAGTTTAAGAGTATATGAAACCATATTAACACAGCATGCTCTTAATCCAATCCAGGTACAGCTAAGGTCACATTCCATTTTAAAGAATTACTTTATAATTTCAGCGAAAGGAAAACCATTTTAAGCCTCCACACCCCAAAAAACTAACAGACTCAATATCAGTCAAATCCCATACAATTCTTGAGTTCTTTTGGGATTTTATAATATTAACTGTATCGGAAACAAATCAGCTATAGTGTGGATATGGGAATATTCTTTATTAATGACATTTTTATCTTAATGGGATAATGAGATTTATTATTATATAATTATATTTTTAAAAAGGAAGAATAAGAAGAACATCTTTCAGAGCATTTGTGTATAGTAGTAGTAACAGAAATTCCCTGAAAATATCTGTTTTGTAACTGAGGTAATTTCTCACCTGAGTTGGCAGACTCAATAGCCAAAAAAAGACAAAATTAGTAAAGGACAGTACTTTAAGAAGGAAAGATAGCAACATCTGTAGAGACAATCTGATTTGGCCAACATTGAGAATGACTTCTAAATGACAAGCATGCTCAGAAACGCAGAGTGAATTAAGGCATTCTCCTTGTTCTTTTCTAGAAGAACATTAGGGAATATCAAATCACTTCTTATTCTTTGAAGAAGTGTCACCAAATAAGTCCTATTCTGTGAAGGACATTAGTCCTTCAACTCTAGACACTGGCGGTTGGAAGGGTATTAAATATTATTTAATCACTTAGGGATAAAGGGAGAAGAAAAATGAAAGAATTTATCACAGACTACAGCTGAGACTAGAATCCAAATTTCCTAACTACTAATCAAGTACTCTTTATATTACATTACCTATCTAACAGAATCCTGTGGTCTTTTCTCATTCCTAGCTCTTCCCATAGTTAGGCCGTACCCAAGCATGTCAACTGGACTCAAATGAATAGAGCCTAGGCTCTGTTCTTCTCCCTCTCCTCTCTCCTCTTCACATCTTCACAGCTCCAATTTAATAGATAATTTCTTTAATCATTAAGAATTTACTCTAGAATAGGCAGTAACAAGACTACCAAACCAAGTAAGGCATACTTCTACCACATAATCCTACTTTAGTGGAATGTATTATAAATATAAACATTGAGTATGGTATTCTTAGATAACAGAGTTATATGTGCAAAATTCTTTATCATCACCCAATCAAGTTTTCTGACAGGAGTCTCCTTTTTAATTGACTCCTTAATTTTCACAGCCCTGGTATAATGATCTCAAAGCCCTTTTTGGCTATCCTGGCATGAAAGTATGACTATCTGGGTTTTTAACCCTTGCTGTACTGCTAATCAATTAATTCTGAAACTCTATGCAAGTCCTATCTTTCTGGGCTTAATCTCCTCAATCAGCAAAAGCAGTAGAGTACCAATCTTCTGATTTACCTTTCTTCTCAAACAAAATAAAATCCAAGGTGTGAGGTATAATTAATTTATTTAATTTAATTTCTTTCTTTTTTCACATTTCTCAGGTTTATCTCTCCCTTCAGTTTCTCATAGTCAAAAGATCCCTTTCTGGATCATAGTAACAGCCTTCAAGTTGTTAGGTATCGATGGGACTTATTAAAAGCAATTTTTTTTCATTTTTCTTTTATTATTCATATGTGCATACAAGGCTTGGTTCATTTCTCCCCCCTGCCCCCACCCCCTCCCTTACCACCCACTCCGCCCCCTCCCTCTCCCCCCCCTCAATACCCAGCAGAAACTATTTTGCCCTTATTTCTAATTTTGTTGTAGAGAGAGTATAAGCAATAATAGGAAGGAACAAGGGTTTTTGCTGGTTGAGATAAGGATAGCTATACAGGGCATTGACTCACATTGACTTCCTGTGCGTGGGTGTTACCTTCTAGGTTAATTCTTTTTGATCTAACCTTTTCTCTAGTTCCTGGTCCCCTTTTCCTATTGGCCTCAGTTGCTTTAAGGTATCTGCTTTAGTTTCTCTGCGTTAAGGGCAACAAATGCTAGCTAGTTTTTTAGGTGTCTTACCTATCCTCACCCCTCCCTTGTGTGCTCTCGCTTTTATCATGTGCTCATAGTCCAATCCCCTTGTTGTGTTTGCCCTTGATCTAATGTCCACATATGAGGGAGAACATACGATTTTTGGTCTTTTGGGCCAGGCTAACCTCACTCAGAATGATGTTCTCCAATTCCATCCATTTACCAGCGAATGATAACATTTCGTTCTTCTTCATGGCTGCATAAAATTCCATTGTGTATAGATACCACATTTTCTTAATCCATTCATCAGTGCTGGGGCATCTTGGCTGTTTCCATAACTTGGCTATTGTGAATAGTGCCGCAATAAACATGGATGTGCAGGTGCCTCTGGAGTAACAGTCTTTTGGGTATATCCCCAAGAGTGGTATTGCTGGATCAAATGGTAGATCGACATCCAGCTTTTTAAGTAGCCTCCAAATTTTTTTCCAGAGTGGTTGTACTAGTCTACATTCCCACCAACAGTGTAAAAGGGTTCCTTTTTCCTCGCATCCTCGCCAACACCTGTTGTTGGTGGTGTTGCTGATGATGGCTATTCTAACAGGGGTGAGGTGGAATCTTAGCCTGGTTTTAATTTGCATTTCCTTTATTAAAAGCAATTTTAAGTAATATTTAGTCTGGAAGTATATCGGTCAGCCTAGAGTCTAGAAAGCTAGTTAAGAAGTTAGTTACAGTAAAGATCAATCTCACACTAAAAGCCTATCACTCAAGTCCTTCCAAAAACTGGCTCCCATTGACTGTTCTGGTTTATTTCCAACAATATCTTGTTTTAGTCCATTTGGGCTGCTATAATAAAATGTAAACTGAGTAAATTATAAGGAACAGAAATATATTTCTCATAGTCATAGAGGCTGGAAGTCTTGAGATTAGGGTGGTAGCATGACCAAATTCTGGTGACAATCCCCTTTTCCCCCTCCACGCCACCCAGGGATTGTGGATATCAATTTCTCACATGGTCCTCAACATGACAGAAGGCACAAACAAACTAACTCTATCAGGCACTAATTCTATTTAGGAGGCCTCCACCTTAATGACCTAATTATATCTTACATCCAAAAAGGTCAACCTCCTGATACCATTATGGTGGTGATCAGCTTTCAACATGTGGATTTGGTGGGACACAAATATGCTTCTGGACACACAGTCTTTCTAACCACATCTTCATGTCTAATGTTACTCCTATCCTTCCTATGTAAGAAGTTTTATCTTTCTTCATAAACTTCATTCTAATAGCTTCTAAAGCAACTTTCTTCCATGGAGTCCTTTCCTTACTCTTTATTCTTACACAAATACTCATAATACAAATAATGATCCCATTTCCTAACTTCATCTCATGCATGTTATTATAAGCATGAGAGGTGATATACAAAAACTCAAACAAAGCTTTTGGAAGAATATAGAGTATTTAATAAAGACTATAAATTATTTTATTATTTCTTCTTAATTTTTTAAAATGAAAATTGATTGTTGATCTTTCTCATAGAGAATTGATACATATTTCTAAATTATTTTTAGGATATTTAGCAATAAGAATATGGAAATATATTTTCTTGGCTTATAGGCAACTTCTGATATATGAAGATGTCTGGCTAAAAGCTTAAGAATGGTTACCAATTAATGTGTCTAATTTTGGCAGCTATTCAAACAAGCAGTGAGCAATATTACATAGATGCTGACAGAGTTACTTTCTCTATTAGGAGGTACTCTTGAAGACTAGGCTTCAATCAGGAAATGATCAGCACCAATTTAATCAAATGATTATCAATGCTAGTGTTAATGACAGTAGAGAAGCAGTTAAAAAAACTTAAAATTTTATTTTCCCTCTTTCAGATTCTTTTATTGCTGCTCAAATTCTAATTTGCATACTTTCTTTAGAAGAAGGCCATGATAAGAGGAATAAAAGGGCTTCATATGGCAAGAGTAAAGTAGTACTGTCATAGCCCATCAATCCTTGAAGCACCCAGAATGGTCTCAGACTTCATTCATTGTACTCCCTTATGCCAACTCCAAAAGTCATTTTCCCAAGAAGGAGTTTCACGAAATTTTAGTTCCCATCACTACTGTCCATTTGTCATACAGAAAAAACAACCATTATATTACAAAAGATTCTGTTATCCAGCATTTGCTAATTATGATTGAGACCAGAAACACACAAAGTTTCAAAGAAAAAAATTGAAGGGAACATCTGAAAATAATTTCCCCAATTCTTTGTTGTTCTGCTACTCACGGCAGATCTTCCAAACTGGAGGCTTCATGTCTTGGATCCAACAGATCATAACCACATTCATTGTAGATTTCCAAATAGGAAATGTGTGTTGTATATATTTTGCTGCTGTCCTGATTGGAAAAGGGAATGACATTATTTAATGAGTATAAATAACAATTCAGCTTTTAGAGAAAGATGAACACATTTATCCCTGTAATTTCTTCACAGTTTTTGTTCTCTTCTCTCTTACTTTATATGGTTTATATTTTCAGTTCGTGACACTTTCAAGTTGCTGTTACCATATGCATGAAGTTTTTTTTTAATGGCAACACCCATGATTACAAGTAACTTCAGTCTGTTATTTTTTATTGGTTCCACATTATACATAAAAACTCAATATACACTTACAATGAGCCAACTTGGTTGCAGAACTATATAACACACCATTTTTTACTTCCCAGACCAAAAAAATTACTAAGAAAAAACAACTTACATTCTGTGAATAGTCTATTCATAAAAGAACACAGATCATTACTTTGGTTCCAAAACCTCAGTAGCAAAATAGTTTCCATCTTTGATCATAATTCTTTTTTTACTTTTCTAATATTCAATTTTTTCTGACAACATAGATAGAAAATAATAGAAGTGAGTTTCAGGGGTCAGAACCATCAGGTAAGAGTGAACATAAAGAGTTCACTGCCTATACTTTCTTTGCTGGATTAATTTTCTTGGCCCAAGAAGGCAAATCAGGGATACTCATCTACTGGTTAGAGAAAGGTGTTTTCTGTGGTCATCGTTGAAATTCAGTGATGCAGCCATCAAAGTTATGAGACCAAAAGTCAAGGTGTTTATTTTTCATCTCAGTTTTGCCAACAGAGAAAAAGGACCCATTTCCTCTGGGTAAAATAGAGCAGGAATATTTTTCATTCAGAAAATTCCAAGTTCAGTTTTTAATACAAAATATCAAATAAAAGGAGTAACTTCTTTTTGTTCTTTCCAAAATACTAATGTTTCCATTTCTGAAAATATTATCATGCTAACTCAAAAGAGGAGGATATATTTGAGTCTTGTAGCAAGAAAGTTGACAGGTGTCAGAGTGGATAATGGCTGAGAGGGATTTGCTTCAGATGACCTTCTTGACTAATTCTCACTTATATTCAAGGCAACCCATTTAATATTGTTCAAAGGGAAAGAGGATCAAGTTATAGAGACTGGGGAGAAGACAGTGACCTGCAAATGGAAAGTTAAAATCCTTGTCAAACCAGCTGTGGACTCTTCCCAATAAAGTAAGGAAGCTGGATGATGAATCCCTATGTGCTCATTAAAGTTAATGCTTCATTTGTCATAAAATGGCTTGAACTATCCAAATAAAGATACTGCCATCTCATAAAAATTGATGAATGAAAAATTAAGGTAAATCTTGGCTAACACATGACTATAATAAATCTTAAGCTCCAGCTGAAATTTCATGGTTGTGGTGGTCTGTGGAGGTGACAACATAGACTCATTTCCCACTAACCAAATTTCTCCTAATCAAACGGTGGAAATTTTGCTGATGTGAGTGACTAAAGCTTACCCTGACAAATGACCTATTGATTTTACTAGTGTCCTAGTTTAGTGAAGATACCATGCAATATGACTGTAGGTTGTAGCTTGGCTTAGTACAGGTATCAGAGAGAATAAACTGAAGACAGACTCTGTGTGTTCATTAGTCTAATTCAGTGTTCCTCCAAAATATTCTATGAAATACTCCTGGAAAAAAATTGTCCCACGGTCAACATATATAATCTACTTCTCTCTGAAAGATTCTAAGGGATGCTTCAGCAATATTCTGAGGCTCTCTTTAAACTGACATATTTCTAAAAATCATCTGAACATATCTGAAATACCCCAGAAATTATAGTTTGAGATTTTAGCATACAATTTTCATCTCTTCTTAGCATCAGACAAAATTGAGTTTGAATATTATATCTGCCATTCCTTCTATTATTTTGCTATGGTAACAAGTTAGGGAATAATAATTCTGATCTTGCAGAATTGCTGTGACAGAGAAATAGGCTCTGCATTTTAAATCTTACCAAAAATGTTTGGCCTATAATAGGTACCAATGCATCACTGCTGCTGCTGCTGCCGCAGTTTTTATTTCTGTTGATACTGTTTTTAATTATTATGTCTAGAAGCCTCCAAATGGTCAATGAAGTATGTGAATATAAAAGAAAGGAAAAGAAAAACAAAAAGAAGGGCCAACTTATATGTTCACTTGCAGTGGAGAAACCTTTTCTCAGAAATTAGAGTAAACCTTAAGTTAGGAAAATGGCAGGTCCATTGCCCTGAGATGATAGGGATAATGTCTTTGGCTTCTCCTGCTTCTGCATTTTCTGGACTTTTATTAGCATACACACTTAAAATCCACAGAGCTATGTGGCAGGCTACCTTTCCTTATTACTCCTTTTTAGTGTCCAGGTTGCCAGACGCTAATGTAACACACATGTTTCCTGCAGACAGCCTTCTCTTCTGCCCCCAAACAAATCTGAACCTCACAATACTCAAAAATAGTGAGCAGTGATTTCTAAAATAAGTGCAAATAATTTTCTTCCTTTAAAACCCGTGAAAATGTGCTCTTACCACACTCAGGCATTTCAGGACCCAGTATGTATGGGACTCTTGAAATAAAGATGGCATAAGTCAAATGTTGCCTTTACAGACTCTAGAGAACTCCATTGGCCCCCTAAGAACAGCATCTGGGATCTCTGAATACCAGTCTGCATTTTTCAGTATCCAATGTGGACAAACTTTATGATGCATTCAATTTAAGGTGATGGACTTATTTCACTGCAGTCCAGTGTGATTATAATAAATGAATTATATACAATGGTGGAAATCTGTCCATTTATAAAGAGTTGCCCTGGCCATAAATTGGTCCGATGGGTTTTCTCCAAGTCCAGGAAGTTCTTTAGGATCACTCAGAATGAAATGGGGTTTAGAGTAATGTCAATGACAAACAGATCTAAAACAATGAACCTAACAGATGGTAAGTACTTGGGAGACATTTAGACTTTTGGAGCTGTACTTTGGTAACCATAGAGGAAATTTTAAAAGAGACAAAAAATATTTTCCATTAGGAAAGGATTTGTTTATTCTGTTTAACTTAATCAGGGAAATTGGCTTCATTTGTTCTGAGAGTTTCAAAGGCTTCTCTAAAATTGGTCAGGGATCATTTGGCCACATGCTCATATATGAATATTAATGAATGCAGTAATAGCGATCGTGTACTGAGCATACACAGTATGCCAGGAACTGGACAATATATTTAAATACTGCATATTCAGCCCTTCACAGCAGCTCTGTAAGACAGAGGCATTTTACTGCCCCCAGGCCATATGCTGTCAATAGTACACTTTTTTTCAGAACCAGGTTAGCCCATACCAGTGCCACGGATTTTTCCAAGACAACAAGCTTCCACATTTACTCAGCCACAGCAACAAATACTATTAGAAATTATACTCTCAGTTTGGGAAATGAGGGAACAAAACAGGTAATGTAAGAAATAAATAAATAAATGAAAAGAAGGGCTTTGGATCCCACACATACTATATTCAACCCTTTCTCTTCCACATTTTCTGGCATGCAGTGCTGGCATGCTTGAGCTGGGGAGAGATGAGCTGAACTAATGGATAATTGCTACTTTATGGATGGCAATTAGAATTATGCAGATCTCAGCAATTTCTTCTCATCTTTGCAACTCAAAATGCATAACATACAGTAGAGAACTTTTGGAGTGACTGTCATATTGACTTAGTCAGGACAATTGTAGAGAATTAATACAACCAAGAATTGATAGAACCAGAGGGGTGCTATAGATCCTCTCATACAGTTCAGTCTTACTTTCAGAAAAGGAGAAACTGAGACACATATAAGTTAAGTGACTCATCACAGGAAAATTGTTTGAACAGAACCAACAAAATAAAGCCAGTCTGAGCTACAGAGGCAGTGTATGTAGTGGCAAAAAGCACCAAGTTTGGTTTGATAGACCTGGGATGGGGCTCCAGATCAGCTGTTTTTAAGATGAGGACATGAGAAAAATATTTAAATTGAAGCTCAGTTTTTCCAAGGATAAAACGGGGATAAAGATACCTACTTAGTTAACTGCATTACGTGTTGCAGTAAATAACGAGAAAGCAACAGACACTTGGAGGCACTCAATAAATGCCACAGACAATATACACAGGGAACGAATGTTCATTGATAAGGGATTCAAACTCTGGCAAACTCCTCTGGCTTCTTAAAAGTGTAGAAAACAGCAACCATGCTATCATATTTAGTGTTTTAGAAGCTAAAAGAAAGGCTTGTTTTGGTGAAAGGATGTGTCTTACTAAGTAGTATAAAATGAGTAGTAGAAAATGTAAAATGTTAGTTGGTAAAATATGTTTTCTCCTCTTTGAAGCTCTATGGGCATATCAGAAGGGACTCTCAGCCCTTTAATGAGAAGAACCTTCTTAATTTCCACTTCTCCAACAAAATAGTAACCTCTCCTTAAAGGTGAAATGCCAGAGTTATTACACAGTAATACTTTCTCATTTAGATACGGTATAATACAATGTCACAGTAAATTTCCAGGCCACAGTAAATTTGTGCTGAACATATCAAATACAAAATGAACTTAGTTTCATACCTTTTGTAACTGCTTAAAAATGTATGACAGCGTCCTTGGGATAATGCCTCTATCACTGTAACGCTCAGCCCCACCTGTGATGGTGAATGTCTTGCCGCTGCCTGTTTGTCCATATGCAAAGATGGTGCCATTGTAACCTGCCAAAGCACTGCAACAGAGAAATGGTACACTTTCAGTATTAGAATGAAGACCCCCATTCATATTAGATAGCTTGTACTCTATCAGCACCCTCGTTACTGGAAGGCTATCTATAGGAATAGCTACAGAAATATTTAGTTGTGCAAAATATCCAGCTAGTATTTACCTCTTAACCCAGGAATACCAGGATATCTATATGGCTTTTCTCTAAGACATGTAATTCAAATGGAATCTAGTCATCTTATATATTTTTTTCATATTTTATTATACTGGACTTGACTCAAAGAATATGTTAGAAGAAAATGTCTTGGGGAAATAACACCTATAACTTGGCAAACTGTCCACCTGATGCCAGTTGAATTCACCCCACATGGTAAATACTCAAAACAGTAGTCATTCCTAGAACACCAGGTAATGCTCTGTTTGCTACTATGTAACTTGCAATACAATTCCCTACTCAATACTTAGCACCAACTGAAAATCCTCTAGGAATTTCCTTCCTTTTCTTTCTTGGAATGACTTTTTGGTAGAACATGCTGGGCTATATCTGTTCTTCAACCCTGCAGAACTGCCCTTGATTTGATGGTGGTCTTAAGAGCCCTGGATCTTCTCAGTCTTTGCAAACCACCACCTGCAATCTAGACTTTTAACAATATGCATGCATGATGCCGACTTTGAACAGTGAGTCTTTTATCTGTGCTATGTGAAATAGCAAATTCTTGCAGCTTTACTGTCTTTCTTATTACAAGTTGTTCCTTGATCTCTGAGATGTTTTCACCAACCCAGCTATGATGATGTCACCTAATGGGACCCACATTGCAAAGAATTGAAAAATATTAGGTGGCTCCTCTGAGATTACTCTTCATTGGGATTCCTGCTCTACTTCTGCTACTGAGATCCTGTGCACAGTTATTTCTGGATTTCATTATGATTTTGTGTCTGCATGTTGAGTGACCTGTCCTCATAATGCCCACTCAAAACACAGAGGTTTTTCTGGAGTTTATTATGAAGTAGTCATTTAAGTCCTTAGTATCTTATGAAACTATAACAACAACATATTCAGAAACAAATTAATATAAGTTTTGCTCTTTAGGTAGGTATTATTGGTGCTTGCTAACTTAAAGGACTTAGTACATTGAGGGAACAAAAAGTACCAATACTGTGTGATCCAATTTTCTACTTTTAAAAAGCATAATCAATTTTCTTCATGTGTCTTCATATGGAGACAGTACACTATTGAATTTCTCAGCTTGTAAGATGCTAGAATTACCAAGATGCATTTAGGTGGATGATTATGGAATATTTTCCCTCAACAGAATTTGTCACTAATGAAACAGAAGTGTCCATTAGCAATATCATTTGGTTATATGGTATTTTTTGGCTATAAGTGCTTTAGGTAAATGAAGTCTACACTTAAACATTTCATTGACTCTTGATACAAAACTTTGTAAAATATATTAGACATCATCTATCTTGGAAAGCAAAGACTATAAGCACAAATTAACACTTTCATTTTGATATAAGATAGAGCCCACAAAAAGTGAGCACCGTAACGGGCTCCACTGGTACCAACTCATTATTATGTCTGCTTTTTTATACTTCAGTCTTATTTCACACTGCTAATTGCCATGCTTACCCTTCCCTAATATGTTCTTTCTCTACCCTTATCTGTTGTGGACAGAAAAACAGAAATATCTTTATAAAACTGTGTAAAACAAAAGGGATATAATTCTATGTACAGATATATCCCATGTCTATTTATCAGACTGCTACAATAAAAAGAATTAAACAGGAATGTGAACAGGCAAAATATGCCTACAGTTCATTTTTTTAGAGGCCCCTCATCCCAACTCAATCTTGTGTTCACACTTCACTGAGCCCCAGACACAATCATGTGCTCCTGATCGCTTCTGTTCTAAAAGAAAATATATACTGAAAATAAGGAAAGAGAAATGATCAATGAATGGTTTAAAATTCATTCTTATATAAGAACAATTACATCAGTGGCAAAAAATTCTCAAAATTAACTTTTTCAAAACCCTGGAAATTATCCAAAGGTGTACAAAAGTCCAAGGAGTGTTTATTTAAGAAAAATAGCTGAAACTCAGTAGGAACAACAGTAAACTTCATGGTGTTTTAACTTCAAACTTCTCAGTCATCCTTCTTCTTCTCCATGACAGCCTTGGAAAACAACAGCCTTGAGGGCATAGAAGCTGTGAAAACCAGCAGCCTAGTCATCACCTAAGAGAACAAGTACAGATTTGGGACTCCTCAAAAAGCTCTGTCCCCAAAGAATCATCATTGTCCAATCTTTCTGGCAGTTCCCTGGAAAAGCTCCACTTACAGTACAGATCTTTTCTGTGACTTAACTCCGAGCTCACTCAGTGTGAGCAGCGCTATCCTAGGGAGTTTGTTGAAAACCATCAGTTCCAAGTGCTTAACATCAGAACAACTTGGGCTGCAAAACCAGTGAGATAAGCAAGAAGGTAACAAAAACCTTAAAAGAAAAAAGTCTGTGATATAAGATGTCTGTAAGACACTTTGTAAAGTTCTGACAGGGGAGGGATAAGATGGCAGATTAGAAGCTTTCGCCATGCAACTCCATGAATGAGAAGAGTCAGGAAAACAATGGACAGAATACATTCCAAAGAAACACACAGGGAATCCTGAAAGAGGTGACAGGACAGCTGAAAAGTAAGGAGAAACAGAAAGACAAAGCAGAGAAATGTAGAAAACAGCCCACAGCTCCAACCTCAGCTCCCCAGGGAGAGGGAAACCTGAAGCCACAACCACAAAGTAAGCCAAGCAGCCCTCGTGACAACAGGCTGGTAGTCCTAGTTGCAGGATAAGCCCATAATTCTCACAAGTATAAAATCAAGTTTGGGGATTTGTGTGACAGTGATTTGACAGTGACTTCTCTTGCTTGGCAGGTCAGCATTGGAGAAAATCCATTTTGTCACTCTCCGTATCTCAGAGTGCTATAGCCAGCCACCACCTTGAGAAGGAACTTGTTTGTAAGTGAGCTACTCTGGGGATTGAAAACAGGAACAACTTCAAGTCAAGTCAGAGACCCTAGGAATACCTTGCCACAATGTCTAGATGAGAGACAGACACAAGAGGCAGTTGTGGAAATGGCAAGGGTCAGATGTAAAACTACAGAGAGTGTGATTGTGGAGGGCACAGTGGTTGGTAGCCCTGTCATCTGTGGTGAGGAGTGAGCCCATTATCTGAGGATTACTGTAGAAACTGAGATCTCTGATCTCTTGGAAGGATAGCGGATTGCTAGGACTCCACAGCGGGCTCACTGCCCCGTATGGTTCACTGACATGTGGTACTGAGAGATCTGAGCCCAGGTCTGGTTGGTTGAGTAACTTTCCCCAGCCTCTTCCCTTCTGCAGGGTGGTTGACTGCTGGGTTCTCTCAGTGCCCTAATTCTCTGATGTACTTGGGGGACACCCCTCAGCTAATTTTATTTACATATTTTTTTTCTTTATTTTATAATCAGATTTTAAGAATCTCTTCCTTTCTCTTCACCTTCCTCACATTCTTCTCCATTTCTTTCCTTTTATTTAAACCTTGTCGCCTTTCTTTTTTCCCTTCCCCTGCTCCCTGTGTTATTTCATACATTTGTTATTATTTTACCTTAATTTTTAATTCATAGTTTATTCTACATTATTGTTGCCATTTTTTTTATACAGTTATTGGTGGTTTAGTAGTTGGCTTTAGTTGATCTCGATTGTATTTCTATATCTGGCTTGTTTCAGATGCTTTTGCTATTGCAGAAGTTTGTTTCTCCTTTCTGAGTGGTATGGGATTGAAGGTCTCAAAAGAAGACTTCTCACTAAGAAGACCCGCCCCATCAAAAAAAATCAGAAGAGCTATTCTGTACCAACAGATGCACACATGCAACAAGAAATATGAAAAGACAAAAGCAACACAACTCCTCCAAAGTTAAGAACTCTTCAATAACTGAGCAAAAGGTCTAGTTTTAAGAAATTATCAATTACCTCAAAGAGGATTTGAATAAACAGATAAATGAAGTAAAAGAATCAATTTAAGACATGGAGTAGCAATTCAAGAACTTAGATGAGAAATTCTGTAACTTGGATGAGAATTCGATTAACTATGGATGAGAATTCAACAAAGAAAAACAAAACAAAAGAAAAACAAATGGACTCTTGAATAAAAAATAAGTTATAAAAATGATAAATGATAAAAAAAAAACAAAATGGGAAAGTGTCAGTAATAGACTAGTAATAGACTAGGAAGAAGAAAGAATATCAGGAAATTCAAAACAATGTTTCAGAATTATTACCATTAGATAACAATAAAAGGAAAAAGCAATCATGATATAACATCCAAACCTCTGGGACACAGTTAAGTGACCAAATTTACAAATCTGTGGTATAGAAGAGGAAACTGAGATACAGGCTAAAGGCATAGAAAGCTTAATGAAATTATAGGAGAAAATTTCCCCAAATCTAGTGAAAGAGATGGATAAACAAGTACATGAGGCATTTAGAAACCAAATAGCCATAAGCATAAAAAAACCTTTCCAACAGCATAATTGTAGTTTAAATGCCATGAAATGCCAGAGAAAGAAAAATACTGAAAGCTGCAAGAGAGTGCCAATTTACTAACAAGGCAAACCTATCAGTGTAACAGCAGATTTCTCAGCAGAAACTCCTAAGGCCAGAAAGAACATGATCTATAATTTCAAGCCCTTTAAATGAAATTAGTGCCAACCAAGACTACTAATTCAGTAGTTATCTTCTAAAACTAAGGAGAAATAAAGGACCTCCATGGTAAAATATAAACTAGAGCAATTTCATTATTAACTAAGCCAACATTGCAGAAGATACTTAGAGGAATATGACAGAAGGGAAGAAAGACAAACACAAAACAAAAAGCTTGCTCGAGAAATAAATCTTACTAGAGAGTAGGTTAAAAAATGAGAAGTAGGAAAAAACCAAAACATTATTACTTAATAAAACCAATAAACAGTAAGAT